ATCTGTCTGGGAGGCAAGAAACCGACATAAAATAAGCGAGATATGAGAAATGGATGTGCACGCAATACTCAGGTTCTGGAAAAAGACCAAATTCTAGAGATGGACGAACAACCAGAACTATCCGCTGGGGTTACAACCGGTGAACATAAAGAAGAAGATTAACGCTAAGTCTCAGAGATGTATTGTTACCAATAGCGGGGCGTTATGCAGCGATTGTAATGGCAGCTGACACTTTCCAGTGTCAAATATTGGACCCAACATATAGGGCTACACCTTAATTTTACAGACCAGCCGGCTCTCGTGGGTGTTGTGGTCAATATCACGCAGGCCGTCTTTACTTCCCAGGAATTTACCAGGTACACATGTGAGGCTGAGTCGACATGGAAGAATGTCATTTTTTAGGAAAAGAAAAAGTCCGGCTCTCGCAAGGTCTGAACCCATGAACTTCGGATCCGCAGGTAAGCTTCTTGCTGCTACACCACGGCGGCTCACTTTCCCTTTCCAAAGAAAAATTATTTACTATTTATTATATATTAGCCACTCTGTTTGCGCCTCTTACATAGCGGAAAGAACACTCTCTTTATGCTTACGTCGTTGATGTAGACACTGTAACTACCAGTTACTAGTACTACAATACCAGCTGTGCACTCATTTTAACAACGAAGCAACACCAAGGAAAAAATCATGATATCCTCTCCAGTGTAATCGTTCCCTGTTAACGCCTACATATGCGAACTGGTCCCTCTTTACCATTGAATGTTACCGACACCTAAAACAATCATTTAAAATAAGTCCACAGAAAGACTGATAGATTCTATCCCACTATCTCCCGCCAAACAGATAGTCGAATATTTCAGGGACTGGTAGATAGGCTGTATGCTGTCGTGGGACCTAAACTGCATGCTGTCGTGGGACCTAGGTTGCATTTTCTCGTGGGACGAAGGTGGGTTGAAGTTATGCTCAGTTCTAGATGTTTTGGGGTAGTTTTTGGGGAAACCCGCCCTTACCAGCCTTGAAAATACTGGACTGTTCTGTGACGTCATACTGTGGGTAAAAAAAAAAAAGGGAGGGGGGAGAGATATTGGGACAGCAGCGACTTATGGTGTTTTGAGGGACCGAATCATTCTAACAGACAGACAACAGACAGCCAAATAGACAGACACGATAAAATACCTGTGGATAGCTGGTGCTTCCCAAACTGCACAGTTTTGAGACGGTCACCGTGGTTAGGTCAGGAGGTTCTGAAGTGTAGTTTGGACGAGTCTCGTTCAGTTCTTTATCCAGCTTACTAAGGTCTCCATTTTTGGGGTCTTTATGGCAAAAAAAAAAAGGTAAACATGGCCCTGTTTGTCTTTACGTTCATCAACATTATTATTATAATCAATGTTTGCATCAACATAATAATAATAATAATAATAATAATAATAATAATAATAATAATAATAATAATAATAGTAAAGTAAGTAAAGTAAAATACCCTCTTCCACACTTTCAGATTTACTGGGCATATAGGGCTAGACCTGTATGTTATAGACCAAGTGGCGTTTGGTGGCTGATGTGATCAGAATCACCGCTTTTACTTCCTTGTAGTGGTGAGGGAGCTTGAGAGCCTCAGTGATCTAGTTAGCGGTGCCCGCGGGAAAATATGTTCCTGGCAGGGTCACCCAAGCCGGACAGGTCACAGACTAAAGATGGCCTCCCGGTCCTCCAGGCTCGGGGTTGGGCGCAGTGTTGACAGCTCTGCCCTGTAAAAAATCTACAACGTTACTGAAACTTCAAGAGGAAATAAGTGCTGTAAACGTCCGGCGGTCTTGGGACAGAGTCCCTCTGTCAGCATAAGCAACATGGGTGAAAGCCGAAAGGAAGCCCATGATGGGAAAACAAGTCTGCTGGATGTCAAAGCCAAATTAAGAAATGGCTTCTGGAATGTAAGAACCATGTTTGAAACGGCCAAAACCGCCCAAGTAATTAAAGAAATGCAGAACTATAAACTGCATATTCTTGGAATCAGTGAAAGCAGGTGGACAGGGTTTGGACAATCCACAACAGGTACAGAAGAAACCATAATATACTATGTAAGAGATGATAACCTACACTCGGCAGGCGTGGCACTCATTTTAAAGAAAGGTATGCACAAACATCTTATCGAGTGACATCCAATTAATGAAAGATTTATGACAGCACGATTCAATGGGAAACATGCCAAACTTACAATTATCCAATGCTACGCTATATAGAAAGATTCTCAGAATATCTTGGACAAAGAAGATGAGAAATATTGACATCTTAAAAGATCTGAACATCAAGGAAGATTAGCTAATAAACAGCATCTTTTCTCGAAAGCTGAAATATTTTGGACATATCAAGCGCCACGACGGATTGGAAAAAAAAGTATAGCAGAAGGCAAGGTACCAGGAAGAAGGGGCAGGGGTCGACCGACTCGAAGATGGGCACAGGATATAAGTGACTACTTGAGTGTGAAAGTTCATGAGGTGGGAGAACTGGCAAGAGACCGAGTTTCTTACAGGCAGACTGTGATGAGAGCGACGTTCTGCAAAGGACCTGCTACATGATGATGATGACGCACCGACTAATGAAGCTGAAGACAAGGATCAAGAAACATTCTTTAGGAGACTGCAATAGGTAGTTGATAAAATACCAGCCCATGATATTCTATACATTATGGGAGATCTCAATGCAAAAGTTTGTAACAACAACTTGAATAGAGAACTATCAATGGGAAATCAAGGATGTGGTACAATTAATGACAACGGGGAAAGATTGAGCGACTTCTGCACGGCGAACAGACTTGTTATAGGAGGAACACCATTTCCTCAAAAGAACATACACAAGCTTACATGGATATCCCCAAACAGAAGAGATGTAAACCAGATCGACCATTTCATGGTAAACAGAAAATGGCGTGGGTCCCTACTCGATGTGCCTGTCGGAAGCGGAGCAGATGTGGGAAGCGATCATCACGTTGTAGTTGCTCTACTACGACTTAAACTCAAAACAGTTCACACACAAGCTAAGACACAGACAGCACGCTACAATGTCAACCTGTTAGGAGAAAAAGACATTGCCACTAAATTTATAGTAGAACTCAAGAATAGATTTTAAGACCCAGACATTCAAACTACAATCAGCATTCAAGACAGATGGAACCGGATCAAAGAAACATACAAAACAATCAGCAACAACATATTAGGAACCAGGAAACAACACCACAAAGAATGGATAAGTAGTCAAACCATGGACTATATTGCCAAGCGAAAAAGAATAAAGAGCCTCATAAATCACACTAAATCAGAACGTCAGAAACACAAAATAATGTTAGATCATAGAGAACTAAATAAAATGGTGAAGAAAAGTGCTAGAGCTGACAAGAGAAGATTTATGGAAAATCTAGCAGAAACAGCAGAAAATGCTGCTAAAGCACATGATCTACAAACCCTACACAAAATTACCCAACAAATTTGCGGAAGCAGAAACAATTATCACAGCATACCTATCAGAGATAACCAAGGCAAACTCCTTAACACAGAACACAGACAAAACATGCAGTAAACTAAACACTTCTCTAACCTATTGAATAGACCTGATCCTGAACATCCCCCAGATATTCAACCTGCCTCACAGGACCTTGACATTATTACTAAACCACCAAGCAAACAAGAAATCCTTGAAGCTATCCCCACTTTAAAGAACAACAAAGCACCAGCCAAATACGAACTGCCGGCAGAACTTCTCAAAGTAGATCTTAACACAACCGTTAGCATTCTAAAACCATTGTTCAAGGATATTTGGGAAAAAGAAGTGTTGCCTGATGACTGGACTGAAGGAACAATAGTCCAAAACCTCAAAAAAGGAGACTTAACAGACTGCAATAATTGGAGGGGAATTACTATACTCTCAGTACCTAGCAAAATATTTTGTAAAATCATTATCATGCGGCTTGAAAAAGGAGTAGATAAATGCCTACGAGTGGAAGAAAGCTAGAGCTGCTTTTGGAAGGATGAGGCAAACCTGGAAATCCAACAGTTACTGCAGAGGAACGAAACTCCGACTTTACAAGAGCATCATTTTGCCAGTTCTTCTTTATGGAGCAGAATGCTGGAGAATGAACGAAAAAGATGCACACAACCCGTCCACCTTCCACCACACATGTCTACGTGGAATTATCACAATTTTCAGGCCAGATACAGTCTCAAACACAAAACTACTTAAGTCACAAATCAAGAAACTTTAAACAGTATGATAACCAAGAGAAGATGGAAATGGCTTGGCCACGTTATGAGAATGCTGATATACCTGCCAAAACAGCTCTCACATGAATACCAGAGAGAAAGAGAAAAAAGGGGCACAGAAAAAAAAACCCCCATAGTGACGGACAATGCAAAGTGACCTGAGTGCAGCATCTTTGATATGGAAAACTGCACTGAAGATTGCACAGGATAGGAAAGTATGGAAAGTCCTCTCTAAAGGTTCATGTGCCACTGGGCATAACGAGAACTGATGATGAGTAAAAAAAAAGTAAAGTAAAGATCCCTTTTCACGCTTTTCGGCGCATCGGGCATATGGACAGAGCGTCCCATATTTTTACAGACCATCAGCACTCTGTGGGTAATGTGGTCAGCATTACGCCGGCTGTCTTTACTTTCCCAGGACAGCCCATCCTGGTACCCATTTTAGGCTGGGTCGACCTGCGACGTCCCATACCACGATAAAAATCCGCGCAGCCTGCAGTGGGTTTCGATCGCGGTATGCTGGCTTTCATCAGTAGTAGAAATAAATCGTTTCATTATGATCAATAATGCCATCATCGTTTCAATTAAAGCCCTTATTATAACTAATACTATCAGTATAATTAGAATCATAATTACTACAATCGTTATAATTTGTAGCATTGTAACAGTTAGTTTTATCGGTTTATCAATATAAGTTTAATCATCATCCCTTTATTTGGCATAATCAATATCATCATCATCATCATCATCATCATCATCATCATTATCACCACCACCGTTATCACTATCAGACACATATATGAAGTTCAAATAAACATGATGTACACCTTGATAATACAGAGCATGTCAAACTAAAATAGAGAACAAATAAACAAATTACCGAGCTGTTTGGCCTCCCTAAACAGCACTACTGATAAATCTGGCCTCCCATTCTGAAAAAAAAAATTAGATTTATTTTTAATCATGTCATTTTTGTTCTATAGCAGTAAAAGTAAATTAGAAATATTTATTATTAGGGGTAACTGTACAACCCCCCCCCCCCCCCCCATACCATAATAGCACTCAAGGCAGTCCCATGTATGCTCCGTCCTCATTTTCAGTAGCCAGCGCAGTTCTAATACCAGTGGTACCGATCACAATCTGGTTTTATGTCTGTCTTGCCTTTCCTCTGAGTGTAGTGTAGTGTAGTGCAGTGTAGTGTAGTGTAGTGTAGTGTAGTGTAGTGTAGTGTAGTGTAGTGTAGTGTAGTGCAGTACAGTGCAGTGTAGTGCAGTGTAGTGTAGTGTAGTGTAGTGTAGTGTAGTGTAGTGTAGTGCAGTGCAGTGCAGTGCAGTGCAGTGCAGTGCAGTGTAGTGTAGTGTAGTGTAGTGTAGTGTAGTGTAGTGTAGTGTAGTGTAGTGTAGTGTAGTGTAGTGTAGTGTAGTGTAGTGTAGTGTAGTGTAGTGTAGTGTAGTGTAGTGTAGTGTAGTGTAGTGTAGTGTAGTGTAGTGTAGTGTAGTGTAGTGTAGTGCAGTGTAGTGCAGTGTGTAGTGTAGTGTAGTGTAGTAGTGTAGTGTAGTGTAGTGTAGTGTAGTGTAGTGTAGTGTAGTGTAGTGTAGTGTAGTGTAGTGTAGTGCAGTGTAGTGTAGTAAGTGTAGTGTAGTGCAGTGTAGTGTAGTGTAGTGTAGTAGTGTAGTGTAGTGTAGGTGTAGTGTAGTGTAGTGTAGTGTAGTGTAGTGTAGTGTAGTGTAGTATGGTAGTGTAGTGTAGTGTAGTGTAGTGTAGTGTAGTGTAGTGTAGTGTAGTGTAGTGTAGTGTAGTGTAGTGTAGTGTAGTGTAGTGTAGTGTAGTGTAGTGTAGTGTAGTGTAGTGTAGTGTAGTGTAGTGTAGTGTAGTGTAGTGTAGTGTAGTGTAGTGTAGTGTAGTGTAGCGTGTAGTGTAGTGTAGTGTAGTGTAGTGTAGTGTAGTGTAGTGTAGTGTAGTGTAGTGTAGTGTAGTGTAGTGTAGTGTAGTGTAGTGTAGTGTAGTGTAGTGTAGTGTAGTGTAGTGTAGTGTAGTGTAGTGTAGTGTAGTGTAGTGTA